AATGGAAGGGGCATTAGTGTTCAATGAATATATATGGAATCCTAATTGTTATTGTATGTGATGTTCCCAGGTGCCAGTATTTAGTATTGTTGAGGGAATTCAGGATACATCTATGTTTTTCTTATTGAAAATTTTCTTTCCTCTCAACGCAGGAGCAATTGTATAGCAGCAACATTGGATCCAGGTGTGTTTTTTGTTAGTGAAGAAATGAGTTCCAATAAGATTATGGGGGTAGTTCCTGATGAGATTTATCGTCAGCCGCGATAGCTCAGTTGGGAGAGCGTCAGACTGAAGATCTGAAGGTCCCTGGTTCGATCCCGGGTCGCGGCATTCGTTTTTGCTGTTTTGGTGGTGGTGTTACTTTGCTCTCGAAATGGGATGGAGGTGTGGTGTTTCCTCGTTATATATGAAATACTGTAGCGGTGCAGTGTTAGCTAAACAAGGGAATTTGCTGTATAGTTTAATGAGAGGTATACTAGATGTTTTACGCAGATATGTCTTGTTTTTTTTTAATCCAAATGAGAATGATCTTTGGTTAACAGGATGTTCCTGTAAAGGGAATTTTTCAAACACTCCCAGGGCAAAGGAGTCAAAAGGAAAAACCTTCTTTAATTGATATGCCCATGAATGAACTGACATGATAAGAACAAAAGACTCCATACATTATACAGATATGTCCCAATACGTATATCAAACCTTTCGTGTACGCTGCGGAACTCAGCACAGTGACTGCAATAAAAAATCTCTGCACCTATTGAATTATTCCACTCTTCCTCCCAGTGTGTGTACAGTTTGCGGTATCTGGAGTTTCCTTTAAGTATTTATCTTTTACAAAATAATTATCCCAATTTCTTATGGCTCTGGATTGGAACTACACTAAACCAAAACTCTTTAATACTGGAATTCCTACGTCAACCAACTCCACTAACACCAGAGAATTCCTCGTTTTGAGTAGTGACTGGCATTAATTATGCAGGACCTGATAGTTTCAGAGATAAAAGTAATTTATTCGAGTTTTGAATATTGAACAGAATAAATAAGAGCTCCTTGCAATAAAAAAAAAAAAATGCACAAAACAATTCTTTCCAACAGGTTGTGGTTAAGAACAGTTTGAGTGGTAATTTATCGTAGATTGCATCATATTTTATGCAAAAGGTTATAAATGAAAATATAAAAAAAAAAATCTAAATTAAGAAATGATTATTTAAAAAAAGAGCACCCAACAAACAATGGGATCTTTTTCTATTCATTCATTTGTAGGAAAAATGGATGTACTCTACAGTCAAAGGATGAATGCCGCACTATTGAAGTAAAACATAGAAAAATGAGAAACAAAAGCTTGATATTTCTCAGTTTATTCACACTATCACTTTGTGAACCATACACGCATCGTCACTCTCTAAATGGATAAGAGAACTGCCATTAAGATTACAACTCTATTACAATCACAATCATTTTACACAGCCTTGGACTCAATGGGACTGCACCCAGGAGTTTCTACATGAGCCAGAGGGCTCCTACAATACTAGCAACAACAGTAACAACATTATCTTAGTGTGGTATTCTGTTACTACTACTGACATTGAGTTCTATCTTCTCCCTGTTGTTGATGTAACGTATAATCGAATAAAATAAGTATTTTTTTGTGTACAAGAATTTCATAAAAAGGAGAACACAAGAAAAAAACAACTCTAATGTCGTATATAATATATACTGCAGACTATTATTTACAATAATTATTATCAAGGAAACGTTGGAAACTTTTATTCTTTTCTGCACATCAAATATCTCTAGTACACGAATAGATTCATGTAAAAACCATCACTTTAATGAATAAGTTTATGTTCCTTTTCTCCCTATGTTACGTGTCGTTTAAGACAGTTCTGACAAGCAACACAGCTACACAATCACTATGCGCACAACTCTTCTATTGTTAACATTGCTACTGATACTCTCCTGCATCTGTACATGTGCAGCAGCAGAGAGGATGCCACTACCGGTGCCACGTGTGGGTGGATACGCTACAGAGGCAAAGGGAAAAGGAACGAAAGACTCTAAGAAAGAAGGAGGCAACGAAGATTGGAATAACGGTCAATTCACTACCACCACACCATCCCTCAGTATGAGTGAGTCCATGAGTGCCTCTGCCACTCTTCCTCTCACTGACACCACTACTGTTGCCCCATCAACACCAGATGAACAACAGACTGCAGGAACAGGAGAGGGACAGGCCGCCCCTACTGAGGAGTCGAGTACGACGAGCACCGCAGCACCGAAGAAGAAGAAGAAGGACGGCGGCCGCGGCCCTGAGTGGCTGCACGGCCCGCTGGTGCTGCTCGCCGCCCTCACCGCCGCAGCGCTGTGCTGAGTCCCGCCCCCTCTGCCACTGCGGCACTGTAATGATATTCCCCTCTTTTTGCTGGCGACGGCACCCACCACATCACATCCCTCTACTTTGCTACTCTGTGTGTGACTATTTATTTGTGTTGTTGTGGTTGTGTGTGCACGTCCTGCCCTCCATGGACCTGGTGGTGCCACTGCTGTGTATTGCAATCACCTCGTCAACGTGGATGGGTTCTTGATATTAACACTCATTGTGTGAAACTGGGCTAATAACATCTTTTTTGCTTTATTTATTTGCTTTATGGTGCCCCCATACACTGCTGCTGGGGTGGAGTGGACAGACATATTGTAGTAGTGGTGGTGGTGATGGGTGGCACCTCTGTGTGATTTGGCCTCATCTTGGGGCAGTTTCTTTTTAGCTCGAGACTCAAATCTTGTGTGTAATCTCTTTTAAACATGAGCGTCGGGGTGTTTTTGCTTTGCTTTGCTTAATAATAGTTATTTGGGAATAATGACAGCAGTATTCATTGTTTTTTATTTTTGTTTTTCAGCTGTTAGTGTGGACTGTGTGTATGATGAATGTTAGTACCGTCTTTCCTCTTAAGGGAGGGAGTGTTGTGAGGTAAGCTGAGTGGGTTTCTTCTTTTTGGTGCCTTATTATACTGCACTTCTCTCTGTTATTAAGCATCGGTACCTATGGGGTACTGTTGTGTGTGTGGATTCACTAATTGGGGTTTATTAATAATGTTCTTTTTAAAAATAAATGGTGTATTTGGGAGTTTAAAGAGATATGTTCCTATGCGGTACAATTGATGTGATAAGGCTTTGTGGTGTTATATCTGTGTGTTTACCTTTTTGCTCTTTTTGTGTTTCCTATTCCTTAGTTTATGATGCACTAGTGTAGTATAATAATAATACCAGTGATTCCCTGTATGCTATTCGTGTGTGTCTGCGTTGTTGGCTGTGATAAAGCCATACTTGTGCAGCAGACATAGCAGGGAGAAGGGGTTGTTCTGGTCCCATGTGTGTGTACGCACATACTCGATGTGGGTAAGGAAGGGAAGAGGGACAGCTGCCAGTCTACAGTGTAAGGTGTACTGTACATGATGTGTTTGCGTCTTCACTCTCATGAAGTGAATGTTTGCCATTACTGTGTAATGGAAGGGGGATTAGTGTTCAGTGAATATATATATAATCCTAATTGGTATTGTATGTGTACGGCACTAGTAGTAGTGCACTGATCAATGGGCCAACCAGCCACAGTACTCTGGATAGCAACAGTAATGGTAACATAGTGTCGTCTCTCTTTCAGTGTGTAGTTAATGGCTTTTATTTTGGATTCTTATTTTGTTACTGTTGGTTGTTTCTCAGTGTTTGACAATGGTAACTGTGCTATATTCTGTTACTGATAATAATGAAGATGATGATGTATTTTGTTTTGGTTTTCGGTGTTTGGCATTTGTGTTTTGGGAATATATATTCATCCTTTGTGATGATGAGAGTGTAAATTTTTTCTTTTATTTGTTTCAATCAAGGTATGAA